TGGTCGTCTCCTTGAACGAAGATGCGCTCAGAGATGCACAGACAGGGCCATGCATGCTGAGTCCGAGTTTTTGGCCCTGCCTAAACCGTGGGAACGGACTTGTTTCAGCCTCGGTTTAGGCCCAGGAAAACTCTGGACAAATCAAGATCGCCAGTCGCTCTTCGTCCACGGTTACGGTCTGGATCGTAATCCCACCCCCGTCAGCGCAAGTGCTACTCGCTTTCGATATCACCAAAATTCTATTTCGCAAGTTCCCGAGCAAGGCCAGGAGCCCATTCCCGCCGCGCCGCGACTACCTTTCAAACCCCCCTTCTTGTTAATTTCGCTTCGTTTAAAATTTTGTTGATTTGTAGTGTCTGAGAGTCTGCTGTCTGTGTGTTCCTGAGTGCCTTCTGTAAAGTGTGTTTTGCTGTAGAATGTTCCCTGTTTAAATCTTATCTTCTCAAATAAATCGCGATAAAAGTGACTGTTTGTTGCGAATTTGTGTCCCTAGGATTTAAGCAACCTATATTGCCGTGTCGTGCTGGGTAAGCCCAATTTCAGTTTCTCCCCCTTACTACCCCCCCCCCCCCNCCCCCCCCCCCAAAAGAGTTCACGGAGCTGGTCGTAGCTCTCCCCCAATTACGACCTGGTGGAACCGCCCCCTTTTATTTGTTTATGCTGTTTTGTTGAGTGGTTTCCTAGTCGCCGCTGCAGTGCACTTTGAGTGATCTGCAGCCCCACGTTCCACATGTTTTATTCTCTCATTGAAAAAGCGGTTAACGTATAATTTCTTGAAAAGCTCCTTGATTTTTCTTCCCCGTTGGCAGAATATTCTGCTTGGATTCTAATTTATTCCTATAAAATTGAGCTTAGCTGTTTCATTTCATCATCACTAACAGAACATACGCTGTTTTACAGTAACGCCACTCACAGAGCATAATTTAAGACATTAATTTAACATAATTACGCATTTATTGGTATGATTCGAACAATGTCACAGCAAATTTCATATAAAATTAATTTGATGATGATAATAATAATAATTATTACAATAATTATGATAACTTACAATTTTTCTGAAAATAAGTAAAAATCAGAGGTGAAAAACAAATATTTCATCGCAAGACAATTTTCACCTTTTGTTTCATCTGATAACATTGGTATAATAGGTAAGATCTACCGGCAAATGTGAGAAACCTAATCATTCATGAAACTGTTACAGCGGGAATAATTGCCGGTGTCAATAGAAGTTTTCAGTTGGCCATTGGATCTTGTCTCCGGAGAGACAACGATCTTTCAACATTTCCGGTATGCGTGCACTTGACCATTCCATTAAAAGTGAAGGTTATATAAATACTTACTTTCAATGATAGATGTTTTTGCGCACTACTACTAATAGGTCAACACTATCTACTTTCTGTCATGAGGGATCAGAGTGAACTAAAGCCAACTCTTTCGCAATATTGCACCTCATGTGAATGCCCTTGTAATCAGGGAATATAGTGAACTTCAACCCAACGCATGTCCTGATAAGCGCGACATTTATTCATACCTAAATTTAATTCATTTTAATCTATATCAATTATGAGGTGTGGGAAAAGGCTAGAGAGAAATGCACAGCCATACGTAATCAGAAAGTGAGTGAAATGTGAGACAGGAGTGTAGATGAAATCCCTTATTTGTATAAATAGCGGATGTCGACATCCGCCATTTTTAAGGATAACTTTTTTTTTGTTAGGACCCATAGTTCTTCAAGTGTAATGTGACCACGTTTCAGACTTTTAGCACGATTTTCCAAGTAATATAAAAATAAAAATCGCGCCATATCTAAAAAGAGCGGATGTCAGAATTTGCTGTTCTTCGAGATAATTTGCTGAAACTCATTCATGCTCTGCAGGATCGTTTACAATGGGAACATTACAATACGCAGATGACGGATACTGCAACGTGCATTTCCTCTTTTTATTTTCAATTTTGAGGCAAGTGCATGAATGTTATCACTTATCAGGGGATGCATTTTATCTGCATGTACGAGATTATAGTAGGGCCCACGAACGATGATCCCTGAGCCGCGGGTATTTCTTGCCAACGCTGGCAGCAGCGACACCCCAACCCGGCCCGAGTCTCGAGCTCGGGCGACAATGCTGAGCCTAGCAACAATCGAACCCTAATTACTCACGGGTAATTAACAATTTCACCGTCCTACTAGGATGAACCAAAATTTTTTGAAAATTGTTTAACATGTATTTAGCGAGTGTTTCCTTAATCTTCGTTAAAACACGAGTAAAAAGAGGCCTCGTTTATAAAAATCGGTCCAAAAGTAGAGAAGTTACAGTTCGAGATACGATGAGAGAAATAAAAATAGGACTTCGTTACAAGAAGGAAAAATAAAGAAATATAAAATTTGAAATACAATTATATATCATTTAACTCAGAATTTTATAAGCAATTCAACCATGTAATGAACCAGGAGATTTGGGCAAAATTACAAGAAATTGGTATTTTACCAAAGGATATAAGAATTTTGACCTGAAGATAGGGGTAGAATAGCAGCGGTACGCATTTAATAGCTTTCCGCATTCACAATACCCGGTCTCGTTGATGTGCGTGCTCGACCTCGCAGCGTTGTCATTTACATGGTCCAAGCATTTATTCGCCCGATTTTTCAGGGATTATCGTTCGTGGGCCCTACTATATATGACCCATAGAAGTCAAAAGTAAAGTAAATTCAAGATGAAACTCAGTGCTCATGCTCATCACTCAATCGCGGATTCCACGCCGCATAATGTGAAAGAGCGACACCAAGAATGGCACAATTTGGGCCAGAAGGGATTTTTCTGAAACCGGGCCCAAACGATACCTTATGATACCCTAAAACTCTGGTAAAAATTTTAGCTTGAGTATACGCACCGTTTTTGAGAAATGGGGGGGCAAAGTTGCCAAATCGCCATCATTCTGGACAGCATTTTTACAGCAAAAAGACGGGAAAAATGGACGAAAAAGTTACACCATTGATGGGTTTGGGCTGTAAATGTTCTTATTAAGCCCCCGTGCATGTGATTATCTTCAGTTTCAAAAATTTTGGACGTACAGTGGTTTAAAATGGGGAGAAATCGTGGACAGATAAGGATCTTTGTCAAACTTTTTAAAAATGGAAGTAAAATTGTTGGTCTCCTGCAGAGATCATGGGAAACAATGTTCTTATCGGTCTTCAATGCATTCAATTGGGTTCAGTTTATCAAATTTTCATCGCACAATGGTCCAAAATGGGAAATTAGTGGAAAAATTAAGATCTTCTGCCTAACTTTTTAAAAATGATGTACGACTATTGGTTCCTAGTAGACTTTAGATCCCAGAAAAATATTTTAAATTCTTTTTTTGACTATTTAAATCTTTTTTACATTTTTTCTCTCCACTTTTCTTTCTTTTTTTTAAATTTCTGAAAGTTTGCATATTTTATTGAAATAATGCTACAAAGTCTATTCTATAACAACGTTCTATAAACAATACGGTCTGACATATATAAATAATTAAAAAAAATAAAAACATGCATTTTTCCGGGATTTAAACTCTACTGGGGACCAACAGTTTGACAGAGGATCTTAATTTGTCCACTAATTCCCCCATTTTTGACCACTGTGCGATGTACATTTGTGAAGCTGAACACATTTTCATACATTGAGGACCAATAAGAACATTGTTAGCCATGAAAACTGCAGCAGACCGACAATTTTACTTCCATTTCTAAAAATTTGACAAAGAATCCTGATTTGTCGACGATTTCTCCCCATTTTGGACCACTAAGCGACCAAAATTTTTGAAACTGAACACAGTTAAATGCTTGGGGGCCCAATGAGAACATTTACAGCCGAAACCCATCAAATATTTGACTTTTTCGTCCATTTTTCCCGTCTTTTTGCTGTAGAAATGCTGTCCAGAATGATGGCGATTTGGCAACTTTGCCCCCTCATTTCTCAAAAACCAGGCGTATACTCAAGCTAAAATTTTTACCAGAGTTTTAGGGTATCATAAGGTATCGTTTGGGCCCGGTTTCAGAAAAATCCCTTCTGGCCCAAATTGTGCCAAAAAACGGTCGTTTTTGGCGTCGCTCTTTGTTTTCCCCGCTCGAATTGATATTGATTCGGTTCAACTCTGGTCATCTGGAAAAAGTTTGCAGCCACTGGTAGTCCTAAGCCATACTTTTCTGCGAGTTCCGTTGTGTTGAAGTGTTTACGATATTCATAAAACCTGAAACGCCAATTTTAAGTGAAAATAGGGATCAAACGGAAAGTGAGCATTTATTTCATTGATGGACATACTTGAAGCATTAAGTCTTTTTCAACGAGATCACGGTTTAAACGTATAGCTATAGTGAAATGATAAAATCTTAGCGCCAAACTACAAGCTTCTATGATCAAAGAATCAGTGGCATTTCTGGATTACTTTAAGTGAGACTAAATTAAAATTATCACCATATAGATCGCGGATATCCGTGAATCCCATTCATCAATCTTGAAATGAAAATATAGATGGAAAAATAACTAACGAACTTTCAAAAATTAATAGTGACAAAAAGTATGTTAGAAAGTCTGCAACGTCACAAACCGAGATATGTGTGGTTCGGGAGTTTCATAGTCGGTATGTTTTAAAGGTATTATATGTTCCACGAAGATGAATGTTCTACCAAAAACCTTTGATATTGTCTATCAAAAAATTTCATGTGTAACATTTCGCAGCCGACTTAAAAATTGTGAAATGATATCTCTATGGTTCTTTTTAATCTATATAGAATGTCTCGCAAATGGACTGGTGTGAACTTAAATTAACGCGCGGTATTTTCACAAGGTTTTATTCCATACATTTCTGAAGTATTTTGGGTACTACAAACATACAAAAACTACTTCGGAACATCATGGAATAAGACTGCGATACAAACGTTGGCGTTCATTCAAGGTGAGGTTACTAATTTTTTTTTCCAGGACGAGTCATTCCTCGTGCTTTTAACTCACACATATCTACGTAATTTCACATGTGTTTTTAAATGTTTTTGAATAAAAAAGGATGTAAAATTGAAAGAGGTAATTGAATTACTCTTACCCGTTTGATGGCATATAAGGCAATTGATATGATACAATACCCATGGGTTGTTTGTACACGAGAAAAATGAACCGATGCTTATCTAAAACAATTTGGATGGACGAGTCACAATGCAGTAAACTTTGCAAAGATATGGGTTGTTATAGTTTTTAGTGTACTTCTGAGAACAGAGACACCATTGTAGTCCTCGTATCAAATTTCTGTCCCTTTAAATCTTTAAATATACACCCCCTTCTGATACTATCATACTTTGAAGACTCTCTACGTGCAAGAGTCAAGGAAAACCAAGAATGAATGAGGAGAACAGAAATTTTTGGGGTTTCTTTCCTTTTCTTTTTTTTATTAGTTTTGTAATCCACTAATGGGACCTAGACGCAATTTATACGATAGAATCCCTCATTTATATTCTCTCTCTATTCTTCAAATATTTTGTCATGGGAACGGAGTTCCCCATGATATTACAATCGTTCCGTTGCTTTCGCTATGGGATTCCCTATACCTCTGCGACCTTGAGCGTTTCGCCCAGTCTCCGATTTTTGGTTGATTTTCCGATGTATCAAAAACCGTTGTATTTTTTAGCCAATCATGTCTCTACGTCAAGTTGTGTTGATTGCTAAAATTCGCTTTCAGCGAGTTTTTTTCCACCTTAAGATGTCGTGTCTGACCGGTAAATCTGCGCAGAACCACGAAGTTCCGTTTTTAGGCAAATTCTTTTTTTTGGGAGGTTCTGATTGGTTATTTTTCGCCATCAGTTTTCTGTTCGTTGGTGCAAAAGATCGCCTACCTCGGTGTTCTTGAGAAGCCGCCATTATCCCACCTCAAATTTTAAACATAGATATAAAGAAATAATAACCATCGTACAAGGTGGAAAATTGCTCTGGAGGACCCGTTACGGATATATGAGCCAAAATCAGAACTCGATTGATGGATTTAATCCATGAATACAGAAATATTGCCTCAGCTTACTGCCGCGATCGCAAATCCATACTGAGATGAACCTTGTGACATATGACAGCATAGGTAAACAATGTCTCACAGAATAATGCGCTTTAATCCGATGTCTCTTATGACGCCAGTGGCCGAACTGCCGAAATCTCAAGGTCGTCTTTTGTGAAGCCCCGCTCAGCGTCCGAGATCACTTAACTGTTCTATTTTCTCCTGATGCTCTCGTACGGCGAGATGGTTCAGCCAGCAGAGACACCATTCTGACGTCGGGTCAATGTCACTTTTTGTGCGAGCGGGGGTTCGAATCTCGCAGGGGACAGTTAATTTTTACTGGTTGTATTGAATGTTTTAGACCAATCATCAAACAATAATTAATACTTGGCAATTTAGGAAGCACATAGGTCCCTTATGATGCGTATTCAGGCATATGTGTAGAGTAAAAATATCATACGTAGGGTGTCCCAAAAGTACCGGGACTGGTTCTGTAACTTCAAAAGTAAGATAGATACAGACATGATTTTGGTCTCATTTTGAAGATCAACTCAATACCTATCGATTAAAACCAAGATCAGCTCAATCGAATAAAAATTGACTGAGTTATGACAATTTGAAATTAGTGAGGAAAGTTTACCCCTACGGTTTTTAGGAAGATTTTTCGCTTACCAGGATTCAAAAAGTTAATATTCGTATCCACTTTCCTCCGAATCTTCCATAACTTCCTTTTGCTTTTCAAAGTACCGTCCATCAAACAGGATGCACTTTTTCATGCGCTCTTGCCACTTATCCAACATTGTTTTCCTGAATTCTTCCTCTGGGATGGAGTTGAAGAAGTTTTGAATTGCATTCTGGATTTTTGTCTTCGATACGAATCTTCGTCCACGAAGCTCCTTTTTAAGTGTAGGAAACATCCAAAAATCACATGGAGCCAAGTCAGGGCTGTAAGGGGGATGAGGGATTGTTTCAACTCCATTTTTACTCATAAATTCACGTGTTAAGCTCGATGTGTGAGGCCGCGCTTGTCTTGATGGAGTATCCACGAAGCTTTCAAGTCCGACCGTTTCCGGGAAATGTGCATTCTCAACTCCTTTAGCACTTTGCAATAATACGCACTGTCAACTGTTGTGTTTGGTGGTACAAAATGTTGATAAATGACACCTCGAAAATGAAAAAAACACAATAAGCATCACTTTATAGGCCGACTTTTCGATTTACGGCGATGAAGAATCTTCCTTAAAAACCGTAGGCGTAAACTTTCCTCGCTGATTTCAAATTGCCATAACTTGGTCAATTTTTATCCGATTGAGCTGATCTTGGTTTTAATCGATAGGTATTGAGTTGATCTTTAAAATGAGATCAAGATCATGTCTGTATCCATCTTACTTTCGAAGTTACAGAACAAGTCCCGGTGCTTTTGGGACACCTTTTGTATACTTTACGCCGAATAAGCGAACCTGAAACTTAAATGCGGTAACTTCCGAAAACCATAAATAATTTAACGAAAATAAATAATTGGTACATAACAGCTTTCTTGTATGCAAAGAAAATAATTAAAAATGTTAAAAAAGAGATGTCAACACAAAATTACATAGCCCCTTCAATTCAGAAGATACTACAAACGAACTGTACCTTAACATTTTCATATCCCAGAAGCTAACGTTCCCATGACGAATATTGCTATCGCTAGCGATTGCAAAATCCAACTTGTTAGTAAATTATTTTAAAGGAAATTTCCTACGTGACATAGATCACTAATCTCTACCTGGTTTTGTCGTTAAATTTTAGAAATTGGGATGTAGGATATTGAGAGTCAACAATACTTAGATCATACATCCTGTGTTTCAAGTCCATTCTCAGTTCTGTGCCCCAGTATTTTACCGCATACAGTGTAACTCGAATCAAAAACTCGAAAAGTATAAATGTACTAGTTTGTAGTGGACGAGAATTTCATAGGATTACGAGGAAAATGTATACGTTACTCGTGTAAAAAAACAACCATGCGGAATTATGCTTACTGATCTGAAGCTTTGCATCGATGGTTTGGTCCACATTTTGCAATGAGGAAATGCAATGTTCGGCTCGTCCTTAAAAACTCCCATCTTCAAGTGGAAACGAATGACACATGCGTTGTTCCTGAAATGCGCCAAAAATTGTATATGTAGTTCCTCATTGCAAAATGTGGCCCTTAACTTTAATACATGTACAAATTACAAATTCCAAACATCCTTTGGAATCCGTCTTTCTTTTAGATTCATTATGTATATTTTACTACTCCATCTTCACATCTGTGCTTCAAGTATTTAGAGCTGGAGAGTTACCTGTATCGTTGCTCCCGACTTCACCCACAATTCTAGGCGTCAAATAATCCGCATATGTGACCCCTGTTGATGTGGCACAGTAGTCGAAAACATTTGCCACCATCCAGTACAAGTATTCCGCTTCGTACGGGAAAGCCCTTATCGGAATATCGGGAGCTATGAGTATATCAACAAAAAGTGGAAATTATTAACAGCTAGAGGCATGATTGAATTTCTTCAACAAAAAAAATAAATAAATAAAAAGGAAAAACAAGATTGATAAATGTGTTTGCGTTCATCAGTGTAATTTTTGGTAACAATTTTAAACTTATTTATATGTAGCCAAAACACTGTATTTATATTGACAATAAACAATTTATTTATACATGTTTACGTGTTCCGGGAGTTCTCTCATCTTCAGAGCATTTAACAAACAGAGGATACACGCACTAAACACTACTACATAGTAATACAAGAGTCCATGCAAACAATTCTTGCAACAATTTTCCAATTTCAAAAAATTCCAATGTTTATTTGCCTAGATTATTGTATTATTGCCATGTAATGGTGTTTGTTTAGTGCATGCATCCTCTGTTTGTCAAATGCTCTGAAGATGAAAGAACTCCCGAAACGCGTAAACATGTTTAAATAAATTGTTTATTGTCAATATAAATACAGTGTTTTGGCTAAATAAGTTTGAAATTGTTACCAAGAATGTTAAAGTCTTAATTTGCTCGGCTATTGAGTCTTTTAGAAACAAGATACACAAGGGAATCGCATGACGCCAGTCATCTCGCAAATTCGTCTAAAAACTCATTTAGATAGGTAAAGTATAAAAATCCAAAATATAATTATCTGTTACTGATGAGCAAATGAGCGATGTGATTGGCTATAACCAGTTTTTCTGCTTTTTCGCCGACCAGATTTTTTGAAAAATAGTGAAGAATATGATTTACGGAAGTTCGATCGCTCGGGCGAGTATGTTCTCGGCAAAATATAGACTTACATATTAATAAGATGGTGTAGTACGCTCCAAGTTCAGTTGGCCAAACGGTTCGATAAGGCATGACATCAACTTGGTACGGCCATAGCTCATTTCCGAAATCCACGACTATACTGTTGAAGTATACAACCTGAAAAAATACGATTAATAAATTTGCCAACACAAGATTTCAAATTCGTGGATTTTTTTATTTCATATTACTCTACCAAAAAAAAGTAGGTCTGCACACAATTTGTATGAGGAGGGTCTCTTGGCGTGGGAAATTGTCAATTTGTTAATTGCTGTCAGAATACACCGCATTTTAAGGCGCACTTAATGTAGGTACTTGGATTTTTTTCTTTTTTTTGTGGGGGGGGGGCAAATTTATTATTATTACTTTCTTTTTACTTTTAATCATACAGGCATTAGTATCAGACGCATTAAAGTTCATTTGGACGGAGTTAAACAGAAAGGAACCAAGCCACATCGGGATCGAACCGAGAAAAAGAGGTTTAAAGTTTAGCTCCTGCATAAGACTCAATGTGAAAGATAAACTTCAAGTTCAATTTCTGCAAAATTTGCTCCAACAAAAACTTTGAATTTTTGGCGATAGATAGTAGAGCAAAGGTTGAGTTTAAAACCACTCATAACTCAATTTTTTCCAAAATGTGGGTTGGTTCCTTTCTGCTTAACTCAGTCCATTTCATGATGCCTATACTTCAAATGCATTAAATGAGAAATATGATAATTCACCTCTATAGCATATTTGGGAGATTTGGGAATAATATGCGGGACAATTTTGTGCTGCTTGAGGTAGGAATCCACAATGTCCTCTGACCTGGGCAGAATACGGACGGCATCCCACTTCTTTTGGATCTCAACCATGTTTTCAGTCGTAGGCGTACTTTCAATATCGCTTGTAGAACCCTTCCGGCGGTATTTGAATTTGGCGCCTTTCCGGTATTTTACTATTGCAAGACTTTGCTCCACCAACAACACTTTTAAACACATTCCTAACAAACTCCACGGTGACATCTTTGCGGTCTACAAGGATCTTAACACTCCAAACGGAAATTCAAATGCTTTATTTTTACTTTGCTCCTTAATCTTTGGATCTATTAAAATGTATGAACTTAACAACAACTGTTACGTAAAAATTATGTTAAAAAATGTATTTAAGTTTGACGTCAAAAGAAAGGCAACGAATCTCAGGTATGCATATAGACCAAATGTCAAAACTAAATGTCAAATCAGGTTTGTAGCACTGAGATAATGGATGATGATTCAAATTAATATTACTCTCTTTAAAATGTTTAACTGGCTAGCTTATGATGATCAACTCCAAGATGAAATTTAGGGTATGGTCACACGGTTTCCAGTTTATTACGTTTTAAATTTCCTTGTACTTTATCTCCACTTAATCTCTTTTTGATCATGATAGGAAGTGTGTTGCCAAGCATTCGAAATTACATCTATGTTACACGATCTAATGTCTCAAGTGGGGATTTTTTCTGAAACTTGATAACACTGTCCTCTAACACTATTGATCATTTTCATCACTCAAGTATCCTCACAAACCATTTATCATTTACAACTAGACATCAAACCTACCGGATAGCACGAAAAATAAACATTCATTTCTTTCTATGCTTTGAATTAACCGACTCAGAAATGTCCTCTTAAATATCGCCTTCAATTCATCCAGATGGACAAGAAACCTACCGGAAGGCGCCGCAAATAGTTATCTATTCTGAAATTAAACATGTTGCTTGATCTAGGATCTTAATTTAACCCATGGACGATGTGAGACCTGCCCACCTACATTTTGTCTTCAACTTTTCGGAAAAGGCCATGAACATTCCAAGGAGCAGCAATAATGCTGCTGTTTTTTTCGAAAAACACACTGATGGTAAAGTATCACAATCCTAGGATTGCAGGCTCGGTGTGCACACTGGTCGGAAATGTTGTAGATCGCGGTAGGATCGGCACTGAGATATTACGTGAGATATTACTGAGATATATGCGTGAAGTATTCCTTCAGTCTTGTAGGCGCTAATTATGCGTTTTACGTCGACCTTTGACCAAACTGTGTTTGGTGCAACGCGTGGAGTATTCCTGCAGTCTTGTAGGCGCTCATAATCGTTGACTAGCAATGGATTTTTCCTCTCTCCGGTTATTAAATGATATGAAACGATTTTTTGCCTTAGATACCCGAAATTCTAAAGCTCAGTAGCATGAATGAAAAATGCTCTGATGGACTACCTTTTTTTTTTTAAAAAAAAAGAAGAAAAAAGTATAACTATGGCTGGACCTTGAGCTTATTTTTTGAAATGAGAATTTGGCATCTTGATGGAGGGAACTTCTTTTTAATCATGCATATTAATCAACTGGAATTCGACAATTGTTGATCGATGAATGCGTCGCTTGGCTGACACAAGGGCGTAACTACACATTGAGATGAGCCTGGAAAAGCATTGAATTGTATGGAAGACAGGGTTCATTGCAGTGTGTAGTTACGCCTTTATGTCAGGTAGGCGACGAATAGTTATGGAATGCCACGTTTCAGTTTCCTTTTGGGTCGAGCAACATTTTAACAGGACTTTCATTGATTTCAATACCTGTCCTTAAAAAAGTGTTTCGCGGAGAGCATTGTCCTACTAACCTTCAGGTCGGGTGATAAATGCTTGATAAAGAATTGCATAATCTAAAATCAAGTTCACCATCAATTTGATCAACACCAGACTTGAGAATTTCGTTTATTAATGAGGGCGCATATTTATGTGTAACCTTTCGAGCAGCTGACGTGATTGTTTCATAAAATCAAGTTCCAACTTTTACTTAAAAATAATTAGAGAATCCTGATTTTGTGTGCATGGAGTCATGAAATTACCTCTAAAATTAAAAATTTCTGAAAAACCCTTAGGAATCATAGTTGTGGGCAAAACTAAAGCTTAGACTGATTCTTCCCTTTCAAATGGGTCACTGCGAGTCGCATGAAGTCAGCAAAACAGACCTCAAAATACATACGAATGCCATCCTGTAGAGATTTAAGAATCCAAACGCGCACTTCCTCCCCAAACTCTGACGCATATATACAGGTAAGGTGTTTCTTTAAGATAATATTCGAAAACTTTAAATTCATTTGAGAAATACACCCAAACACCGACATTATTCAACAAGAAAGGAAGAGAGAGAACGGAAAAAATGCGAGAGATACAAATGAAAATACACACTGTAAAATATGTATAAAAATTATATCCATGTAATGATGTTATGGTTTACTTAATATTGCAGCAGGAAAATACTTTTGACTTCAGTTAAAGCAAAACAAAAGACGTAATGTTTAATTTTGATTTATAAAGTATATTAGCATATTCATTTGATTTAAGTATTTTACGTTTTTCTTGAATTAAATAGTTAAATAATTAAAATTAAAATTTTATTGAAGTTTCTGTATTGCTATATTTTCTCTTTTTAAAAAGTATTAATATTATTTAGATAGACTTTTCCAACGACTTTTGTGATTACAGATAGATTGCCAAACTCGGAAGGACCAAAGAACAAAATGTATACTTTCACGCAAGCAAGTAGGTTTCCCTATTTTCTGTTTATACTTGTGAAGTTGGATTTCATCACTGGAAGTAGTGATGAAGCGCCTGAGTGCCCTGCGAACATGAGTGAGATTCTGAAAGCAGAACAAGTTGTACCGGAAGTAATTGATAACGTTCCAAAACACCATATTAATGTAAGTTTGTTTAATCTTTTAAAAAATGATACTTACGTGATTAAAGCTCCATCATTGTCTTATGTGATTTTGTTTGGAATCAATGGTTATGCATAAAAATTGAAGTACGCGCGATAAAAAATAGAGAGGATAATAATAATATTAATGGAATGCAATTTAAAGAAAATAAATCGCAGAAAAAATCGGCTAAAAACACACCATAGCATTCAAAACTGCGTCGACCAAACATTCGTCGCCCTCCCGACATGAGGGCGTAACTGAACTCTGCAATGAACCCTACCATTCATAAGATTTAATGCTTTCCCGGGTTCGGTTCGAAGCTCAGTTACGCCCTTTCGTCAACCGAGTGGCGAATTAGCCGAGCTCAAGTAATGCAGAACTCGGAAATGCATCAGTTTTCCTCAGAGTAAATGGACCGCTTTCAGCAGAAATAAACCAATCCACATATCAGCTATTGCCATTTAACTGAGCAATTTAAATTTTTACGAGAGAACGTTTTTGCGGACTCTGTTGAAATTTTTGAGGAATTCGCTTCCTACTATGCAGAAAGTTTATTGTTTGCAGAAAAATCTGCACAACCGTATTTACGTAAAAAATGAAACTGCCGAATTAAATTTTGAAATATCTGATGTGGCTTGGTTCTTTTCTGCTTAACGCGGGCCAACTGTAGGAAAATAATATGTAGTCATTTTGAGAAATAAATAATATAACCATGGATGAAGTCAATGAGGATTTTTTATGTCGACGGTGAAACTATCAGACCACGTATCTCGTTTGCTGTGTTTAAAAACCCCGCTCCCATATTGTCTTTTTTTTTTTTATTTTTTTTTTTTACAGTACAAATCAACATCATTCCTTGAAGTTTCCACAGAGTTTTTCTTTGCACAGAGAAAAAAATCCAAGGAATTGCCGTTGAATAGTTTCCTTCTATGAAATGTGAAGTATGGCAGGAAGTCTGCTTTATCACAAACCGAGATACGTGGTCTGGTGGTTTCACCATCGATGTGTTTATGCAATTTTATCTGTTAAAAAAAGTATTCACTTTATTTCATCACTTTTTTTTATGTGCAGCAGACACATTCCCCCAAACCCAGCCTCCCAATAGCTCAATCTAGCCCAACCACTTCTATTTAACATACAGGATCATTTTAAAAAGGCGCATTGTAGATATAACCGAATTACTGAACGCTTTCTCGTTGCTCTCCATCGAGATCAGTGATTTGAATACGGTTTTAACTCAAAGAATGATACAACTTTAATCTTGAACCTAATTGAATCAGTGAGTTCGAAAACACAACAACTCGGGTTTTTTTTCCATTTTCACTTGTGTACGGTTTAGTAACACTTATGGATGGAAGCATCTGCACGCAAAAGGAAATTTCGAAATTGCAAGGAAGTAATCGAAACAGCTACGGGAAAAGGGAAAAATCGAAGTATTTCATATGAAATACCAATTTTTGGCAATTTCAAAGGAAACGGGTGACCATCCGATCTTGCGGACTTCTTTTTTCGGTTCAGTTTACCTTGTGCCAACAAGTTATATAAAAATTCAAGCGTCATTCAGGTCGAAAAATATACATTTTTTTGGGCAGACTATGAAAAATCAGTATCTGAAAGTCTGAAATTTTTAAAATCTTAATTCTCTGTCATCAAACATGGTGCATCGATTTCAACTTGGTGCTTTACAAAGTCTCTAAGTACTTGTCCTTTGGCACCAAAAAGGTTTTTTCATAAACTAACTTCTTCGCCCGCTGCGCAGTTTTAGGTGTTTCCTGAGCAATTTTTTTCCGAGTTGGTGTGTTTTCGAACTTACTGATTCAATTGTAAGGACTTCGGTCTCATAACTCCCGCTGTTCTAGATAGCCTACAGTCTTCACTGCTTCGTAAATTTTGGGAATGTATTGAGACCCGAGAAGGTTGCCAGGCCAGTATACGTGATGGAGTGGTTTTGCACTCAATATCAATATTTCACACTCCTATTGGTTGGTGAGTGAACAATTGAAAACATATCATGACCGATATCACTTAACATTCGATCCGAGCTTAAATTTGGAACTCTCTTGAGTTAGAAAAGTTATTAACCCAAGTAGCACAGTGCAACGAAACAATTGAAATAAAATTGCAATTTTATTTCAACAAAACTTTAATTTTTTTACCATTAAATTGCAATATTTTTACATTATTTAGTCGATTAATGCCGAATTTAAGCAATCAACAAAATGAGTTCCATTGTCAGAAAGATATATGTATGCAATGCATTGAAAAATAGCAACTTAACTAACTAACTAACTATTTCAATTTTATTGCGATAAGTTTCGATAAATAGGGCCCCTTCAAATAGGAGCTAGGCAACATACACAACGCTCATTGTCAGTGGAGTTTCAATATTGGCGCGTATACGTAGTATACCGCCTTTGCGATCGTTTCGAACCCTGCTCGATACAATAACCGAGTCCCTTAGTTCCTTACCGAAAAGTGACTACCGCGAACTTCTGAGATTTTCCAAAGCGTGTAAAAAGTTTATTTATCCGTCAATAATTATGATTTAAAGTTGTTTCTCATTCT